TCCCTCCCCCCCCCCGTCCCCCGCATCAACTACCCTCGGATTATGCTCGGGTGCCGAAAAAGGTCGTGAAAACCAGGTGCGATCGATCAGCCGACGTCACCCGGTCGTCGACGGGGAGGCTCACCACGAGGGGGGGGAGGGGACCAGGCAGCTCTGGAGAAGACGGAGGAGGTAAGAAGGCACTTGACTTTCTCAGGCAGAGACACAAGTGCAGAGGATGGCGACCGGGGAGCTTGTGACGTCCCTTGCGCTCGCCATTGGGGAGGAGCTCCTCTCTGCCCCGCGACACCGCATGCCACTCGGCCGACTCGCCGCTGCTCTGGCAGCCACACCGGCATGGACAGCCATTGCCCCGCTGGTACCCTCGCTCTCGGCCCTGCTCCAAGCCCATGCTGCTGAGCTCCAAATTCATTTGCTGGCGAAGAACGGCAATGGCAATGGCAATGGCAATGGCAATGGCAATGGCAATGAACGGCAATGGCAACGGCAATGGCAATGGCAATGGCAATGGCAATGGCAATGGCAATGGCAATGGCAATGGCAATGGCAATGGCAATGGCATGCGACGGAACGGGAAAGGCCTCCAGACTGCTGGCGGGCGTCACTCGTCGGCATCGGCATCGGGTGGGAGCGGGGACGGAAGCGGGAGCGTGATGGTTGTTGCCCATCCTCGTGCGTATCTGCTGGAACGATGTGGTGGTTGTGGCGCTGTCACGGGCTGCATTCATACTGCTCTAGCGGCGGCTGGTGGTCGCTGTGCCAAGGAGGGCAATGTGTGTGCCATCTGCTGTGCTGTTGTCGATCATGATCCGCGCTGTGATTACTGCCACGTCGAGGTCTATGTCGTGCGGGACGAGCCGCTGCCTGAGGCCTGGGCCGGCCGAGGGAGCGCTGCCAGCGACGCCCCGGGCAAGGGCGGCAAGGGCAAGGGCGGCACGGCAAGGGCAAGGGCAAGGGCAAGGACAAGGGCGGGAAGCGTGGGCAAAAGGTGACGGTGAGCTACGTGGCGCCACCACCACAGCCTACCTTTGCACTCCGCCCCATCGCCTCGCAGCGGTCGACGGCCGGCGGCAAGGCGGTGCCGCTGGACGACTCGCGCCTGTTCCCGCTTGTCGAGCTCACCAGTGGCGGGTACTCGATGTGCAACTCGGCGGGCAACTGCCGGTTCGGCGACGAGTGCAAGTGGGCGCACTCGTACGAAGAGTCGTGCTACTGGAACGCCATCACCGAGTGGCCCGGCTCGGCCGGGTGGACCTCGTTCTACCACATCCTCGACGTCTCGGTCGACTTTGCCTACGTCGACCTGTTTGACTTTCTCGGGCCTGACGGCGGCGACGACTTTGTCTACCGGCCCGAGGACTTTGGCCCGGACCCGGTGCCGTCGCCGTCGTCGGCGCTGGTGAGCCTTCCGGCGCCGACGCCGACGCCGGCCATTCCCGACGCCGACTCGCTGGCCCTCGCTGCGCCGCCTGATGAGTACGTCAGGCCGTCGGCGGACGGGCAGCCGACCAAGCTCTCCGAGGCGGCGCTGGGCGCAGTGCCGGCTCCGCTTCTCCGCGCGCTGGCGGTTCTCCTGCGGCGGACGGTCTACGCCGCGCCGCTGAGCGTTCTCCGCGTCTCGTCGCTCGCTCAGCTCGTGTGCGAGTCGTGGGAGTGGCTGCAAGTCGCTGCTGAGCTCCCGCCGACCACCTCCCTCCATGATCTGCTGCTCTCTGCGGCGAGCAAGCTCGGGCTTGCTGTGGAGAGGGGCATGGCTGGCGTTTACGCTTACGCGCGGGTCTGCCTGTGGGAGGACGTGGCGAGCGCGACAGCGCTGGCGCTGCACCTCGCGCCGCCGAGCGGCATGCCGACGTTTCCGCTCTGGAGCGAGAGCCACCAGCGCAAGTTTGCCTGCGCCCACTGCTACACCGAACCGGCCGGCTCGGCTGCGTTTGGCATTGTCGACTACCTCGACGAGGCGCCGCCGCTGGGCATGCCGGCGCAGGTCGACCCGCACTCGTCTGATCCGCTGACCTTCAAGCGCGGCGCATGCCCCAAGTGCCACAAGCCATGGCACTGCCTCATTCTCGCCTCGGCCAAGAACAGCAGCCCCATGTGGACGCCCATCCGGCCGTGCCCCATTGTCAACTGCGCGCCGCCCAAGCGGTTCATCCTCTGCAACTCGGGCCCGGGCGCCTGCCGCTCCGGTACCGACTGCGGCTTTGCCCACTCGGAGGTCGAGCTCCACGAGTGGAACTACGACCGCCCATCGATCGACGACCGCATCGTAGCCCTCCTCGCTGCGCAGGCCTTTCCCCAGCGCCTCGTCCCGTCGGTCGTTGCCTCGCTCGTCTGCCGCTTCTGCTACGAGAAGACAGGCGCCCGCACCCACGCCCGCGGCCCTCGCCCGACAAGCGGAACACGGCCGAGACTTCGCGCGACCGGACCATCATGTGCGACAAGCTCGACGGCCACAGCAACAAGCGCCATCTCTGGCTGCCGCACATTCCTGACGATGTCTTGCCGTCGCCGGCGGCGGCAGCGGCGACGGCAGCACCCGATGCCGCAGCCTACCCGCATGCCGCCGTCCCGGGCTACGGCGGCGGCGCCGGGTATGGACCTGCGGACGTGCGCCAAGGCCTCGCGCCGGGCGAGCAGCAGACGGCCATGCAGCAGGCCATGCAGCAGCAGGCCATGCTCCAGCAGCAGGCCATGCTCAAGCAGCAGGCCCTGCTCTTGCAGCATCAGCACCACCACCAGCAGCCGGCGCAGGCACACCACCACCACCACCACCTCGGTAGCATGTCGCTTGCCGGCTTGTCGGTCGGCGGCCGGTCGGTCGACGGCGTGCCAATGGGCGGGATGCCGAGCATGCCACCGGTGGTGGCCGGCGGCGGTGGTGGCCAGGGCCTCGTCGGCGTGCTGGGCCAGCTGAGTACGGGCGGCGGCCTGGTGGCTGCTGGCGCCGAACCGGCACCCAAACCTGAGCCGGTGCTTGAGGCTCAGCCTGAGGCTCAGCCTGAGGCTCAGCCTGAGGCTCAGCCTGAGTCTGAGCCGGCGTCGTCGCCGTCGCTGCCCGAGTTCGGGCAAGAGCTTGACGTATCGGTCGCACGCCTGCCGCGGCTTGTGGAGGAGGCAACAGCGGGCGGGATGCCGAACGTGCAGGTTGCTGGCGCGCTGGCGGCGCTGCTGTACCCGGGTGGGGCGCGGAGCGAGGTCGAGGTGTTTGTGGACGTGAGCGCGGTGGCGCTGCCGGCGTGCGACCAGTTTGTGGAGTACGTGCTGGAGGCCATGCAGACGGAGCCCGACAAGCGGCTCCACGCTCTCGGCACGCTGCTTCGGGCCGGGCCGGCGAGGGCGGCGACGATGTTCCACGACCTGCTTCTGCTGGAGCAGCTGGCGTCGACCGAGGCGCTGCTGGCGACGGTGGCGTCGTCGCCAGCGACGCCGGAGCTGCGGCGGTTCGCGGCCGACCTGACGCCTGTGGGGCTGACAGGCCTGGACCCGTCGGCGGTGGTGCATCTTGCCGGGCGCGCTGCGGTGCTCAACGGGGCAGAGCCGATGCTGCTGGTCAAGCTCGCCGAGTCTGCGGAGGTGCCTGTGGTGGTACCGCTGCTTGGGGCGTCGCCTGCGCTGGGCGAGCTTGTTGTGGCGCTGCCGTCGCCGATTGCGGCAGCGCTCTCACCGGAGACGGCGCTTCTGGTGGCGGCGGGCGAGTTGACGGTGACCGAGGCAAGCGAGTATACCTTTGCACACATGGCGATCAACGCGGCGCGGCTGGAGACGCTGGTGTGCGGCAGCGGGTGCGAAGAGAGCAGGAGCAAGCCGCTGGCCGAGTCGCCCGAGGCTGCGGCGGGGGTGGCGGGCGAGCTCGGGTGGGCCAGCGACGCGGCCGACGCGCTCGAGCTCGCGCTCTCGGGCGCACACGGTGGTGTGGCGGTCATCTCCGCGGCGGCCGGGAGCGGGACGGCGGCACTGGTGGCGACGATTGCGGCGGCTTGCAGCGGGGCCAAGGCGAGCGGGGCGGTGGCGCACATTGCGGCGGCGAGCGGGCGGGGCAGCGGGCGGGTGGCGGTCACGGTGCCGCACCGCAACGCGCTCGCGGCGTTTGGCAGCGAGCTCGCCGCAGTCCTGCCTGGCCAAGCGGGCGAGGTGGTGATGGCGCTCGGGGTGGGCGAGGAGGCTGTGGGCGCGGTGCCCGGGGCGTGCGGCCCGCTGCCGAGCTACGAGGTGGCGAGTCGGGCGGAGCAGTTTGCTGCGGCGCGGGTGGTGATGGCGACGGCGGCCGGCGCGGCGCGGATGCACGCCTCGGGCTGCGGCGGCGAGTTTGCGGCGGTGGTGGTGGTGGAGCGTGGCCCGGTGGGCTCGCTGACGGGCAAGAGCGCGGCGTGGGCCGGGCCGCTGGCGCTGGCCTCGCCGGGGAGCACGGTGGTGGTGGTGGCGGCGACAGGCTCGGCGGCGAGCGTGGTGCCTGGTGCTGCGAGCGCAGAGCGCGCCGAGGCAGCGGCGGCGGACGACGCGGCGGTGGGCGCGACGACTGCGGCGTCGCTCTCGCCGACCTTTGGCTCTGTGTGGGCGCCGGGGACGTCGCGGCTGCTGGGCGGGCTGGCGACGCTGCCGCTGGCGGCGGTGGTGGCGCCAGCAACGCCGGCGGTGGTGGTGCGGACGGTGGTGGAGGCGCACGCGACGCTGGCGGCTCCACGTGCGGCGTTGGGCGAGGCCGGGCTGGTGGCGCCGCATCCGGCGTCGGTGATGGAGGCAGTGGGCGGCGGCGGACGCGGTTGGATGCCTGAGGCGAGCCGGGTGCTGGCGTCGGACGCACTCTCTGCGCGGGCGCGGGTGTTTCGGCTGGAGCCTGCGGGCGAGGCCATGGCCATGGCGCTTGTCTCTGCGCTTGCGCTTCTCGGCACGGCGCTGGGCCTGCCGCTGGACGCTGTCGGAGCCATCGGCGCTAGTGCGGGCGAGGGCGCGGTGTCTGCGGCGGTGGTTGTGGGCGACGCGGCGAGCGCGCGCGAGCTCGCGTGCGCTATGGGCACTGCGCTGCCGGCGTGGGCGGAGGTGACGCCGGCGGCGGCGATCTCTGCGGCGGCGCAGAGCTTTGACGTTGTCATTGTCGTTGCGGCGGGCGCGATGGCGGCGTCGGAAGCGGCGGCGCGTGTAGCGGCGGGCGCGGCGCGTGCGGCACTGGTCGTTGTCGTCCCGCACGGCGGCGATGGCGGAGTGTGGGCCGGAGTAGCGGCAGCGGCGGACGGGGAGGCGGCGTGGGAGGGCTGGGCGCTAGAGTCTGGTGCCTGGCTTGCGTCGCAGCAGCGGCGTGAGGTGCAGCATGCGCTGGCGACGGCCGATGCGGCGCTCCGCCACGCCCTCGCCGCCATGTCGCCGGTCCTTGCGCTCTCTGCGCCGCTGCGCCAGCTTGCGCAGGCGGTCAGCACCGCCGCGGGAGCGCTGGGCGCGCCCGAGATCGACTACGTGAGCGAGATCCGCAGCGGGAGCGTCGTGGGGGGCGGGAGCGACGACGGCGGGCTTGTGGGCTTGTCCGGCCTTGTGGGGCTCGGTAGCCTGCCTGGCCTGCCTAGTCTGTCTGAGCTCCCTGGTCTGTCTGGCTTGTAAAGGATGGTCCGTTTGGTGATGGTGATGGTGGTGGTGATGGTGGTGATGGTGATGGTGATGGTGGTGATGGTGGTGATGGTGGTGGTGATGGTGGTGATGGTGGTGATGGTGATGGTGATGGTGGTGATGGTGGTGATGGTGGTGGTGATGGTGGTGATGGTGGTGATGGTGGTGGTGGTGATGGTGGTGATGGTGATGGTGATGGCAGTGGTGATGGTGGTGGTGATGGTGATGGTGATGGTGATGGTGATGGCAGTGGTGATGGTGATGGTGGTGATGGTGATGGTGATGGTGGTGGTGGTATGTGGCGTGTGTGTGTTCTGTTCATCCCTTACTTCAATTAATCGTTCATCCACTCGTTCCATTAATCGTTCATCCCCTCCTCCCTCCCTCCCTCCCTCCCTCCCTCCCTCCCTCCACCTCCCCCCTTCCCCCTCCCTCCCCCCCTCCCCCCTCCCCCCCCCCCCCCTCCCTCAATCCCTCCATCCCTCCCTCCCTTTGTTCGTTCGTCCCTCCGTCCGTTCGTTCGTCCCTTCGTTTCGCCACTCCCTTCCCCTTGGCGCCAACCCTCACCCACTCCACCCCCCCACACCCCCACACCCCCACACCCCCACACCCCCACACCCCCACCACCACACCCACCACCACACCCACCATGTCCACAGACATCTACTCGTTCTCCGGGTACAAGGCCCCCCTCGCCTTCTCTGCCCATGCCCCTGCCCCTGGTGGCACCGCTGCTGCCGCCGGCCGGCCCTCGACCTCGTCTTCACGGCCGATGACTTCGTCGGCAGGTTTCAAGTCGTCGCGAGGCCGGCGGACTCCCGGTGGTACAGCCGGTGGCCCCGGTGGCTCGCCCCTGGCTCTGGGTGGTGCAGAGGCTCTGGAGGAGACAAAGCCGGCGGCGCCTGAGGACCACGCCAAGAACCTCCAGAGCTCGGTCATGGCCATGGTCGTTGCCTCGGTTGTCGCTCGCCAGCCGGCCGAGGCCGGTGCGGGTGCGGCGAGCGGAGGCCGTGCCGAGTCGCCGGGGCAGGTGACAGGTAAGCCGCCGCGGGGAAGCGCCGGGAAAAAAAAGTCGGGCGCCAAGGCCAGCCTCGAGCTTGCCAAAAAGGCCGGCAAGAAGGAGCGCGAGCTGGCGGCATTTCGGGCCGAGAAGAGCCTCGACGCCAACTTTGAGATTGTGGCGACGACGTACCTCAACTTGGCGCTCTCGTTTGAGACTGCCGGCAAGGGGACCGAAGCCGAGAAGAGCTACAAGATTGTGGCCAAGAGCAAGGACATTGCCGCCGCCGGCCGCTTCCGCCTCAACATGGCGCGCGTCGCCGTCCGCGAGGGCCGGACTGACGACGCGCTCAAGAACTACAAGATGGCCCTCGACCAGATCCCGGTCACCTCGCCGCGGCTCCGCTCGAGGGTCCTCGCCTCCATTGCCGGCGTCTACGTCTCGGCCGGCAAGTACGCCGAAGCCATCACCCACTACGAGGCCGCCCTCAAGGACGCCGGCGACATGTCGGTCGGCTACAACCTCGTCCTCTGCCACTATGCCATGGGCTCGGCCAAGGACATGCTAGCCGCCTTTGAGGCCATGCTCGCCACACGCTACCTCGGCCGCTCCTCCTTTGATGACGACGACGACGACGAGCTCCTCCCCCCGCCAGGCGGCGCCTCCTCGCGCCCGGGCTCCGGCTCGGTCCGCCCGGGCTCCGGCTCGGTCCGCCCGGGCTCCGGCTCGGGGCCGGCCGGGGCCGGGCTCGGGGCGAGCGGCGGCGTAGCCCGCGGCGGCGGCGACGACGACGACGACGGCGACGACAACGGCGGGATGCGGGCCGACTCGCTGCGGGCATACGAGCGTGCCGTGGAGGCGCGCCGGCACAAGATGGTGCTCGCGGCGGCGCGGCTCATTGCGCCGCACGTGGGCGGGGCGGGCGCGTCTGCGGCCGAAGGCTACGAGGTCGTGGTACGGGCCATCAAGGGCTCGCGGTACGGACGGTACGCGGCTGAGGTGGAGATCGCCAAAGCCATGCACTACATCAAGGCGCGCGAGTTTGAGACGGCCATTGCCACGCTCAAGGCCTTTGAGAAGCGGTCGCAGAGCGGCGTGGCCGGCGCGGCGGCGACCAACGTCTCTGCGCTCTACTTTTTGGAGCGCGAGTACGCGGCGGCGGACAAGCACGCGTCGCGGGCACTCGAGGCGGACCACTACAATGCCAAGGCGCTGGTGAACAAGGGTAACTGCCTCTACGTCCGCAAAGAGTTTGAAAAGGCACGTGAGCTGTACATCGAGGCGCTCAACGTCGAGGCCGACTGCACCGAGGCGCTGTACAACCTCGGGCTGGTCAACACGAAGCTCGGCATGCTCGACTCGGCCCTGCACGCCTTTGAGAAGCTCAACGCCATCCTGCCCAACACGCCCGAGGTCCTCTACAACATCGCCAACATCTACGAGATGCAGGACGCGCACGACGCCGCCCTCGAGTTCTACTCGGCCCTGCTCTCGGTCCGCCCGCACGACGCCATCATCCTCGCCCGCCTCGGCGCCCTCCACGACCGCCTCGGCCAGCTCCAGCTGGCGTACAACTACTACCAGCAGTCGTACGCCCTCTTCCCGGCCTGCCTCGACACCCTCGCCTGGCTCGGCGCCCACGCCGTCGACAACGCCAACCACGCCGCAGGCATCAAGTACTTTGAGAAGGCCGCCGCCCTGCCCCCGACGACGTCAAGTGGCAGCTGTGGCTCGCCTCGTGCCACCGCCGCGCTGGCGGCTACCAGCAGGCCCTCGGCATCTACAAGGACATCCACGAACGCTTCCCCAACGATGTCGAGACCCTGCAGTACCTCGAGCGCATCTGCAAAGAGATGTCGCTCCACCAGGACGCCGCACACTACGCCCAGCTCCTCGCCCGCCTCACCGCTGGTCGCGCCCGACCCGACATGCCTGCCGACGACGCCCGCCGCACCGGCCGTGGCCGCGGCGCGCAGCAGTACGTCCCCGAAGGCGGCTTTGCCTCGGCCGGCGCAGAGTTTGACCCCAACTCGGTCCGCGTCGACGTCGCAGACGACGGCGACTCACGCCGCCGTGACGTCCGTCCCAACGACGACGACGACTGGGTTGACGACGATGACCACCTCGACGAGCTCCTCCCACAGTAGTCGTGGCGCAGGCAAACAGAGGCCCTGTTCCACATGCATTACAACCAGTACACACAGGACGCACAGGAGACGCCCGTGAGCACAGGCACGGGTCCTGCGGTTGATCACCAAAAAGCGGTCCTCTCTCTCTCGCACACTCACGCCACCCCCCTCCAGCACCCCCCCCCCCCCCCCACACACTCTCTCTTGCAGCACACCTCTCTCTCTTCTCCCACATCTACACAACTGCGTGGCATGGTACCCACAAGGCTGTAGGTGCCCGGGGCGTACGGAGGCAGACCATTTGCTTGCATGTGAGAGAGAGAGAGAGAGAGTGTGTGTGTGGTTTGTGACCGACCAAATTTTTATCATTTCCACCGTGACAAACCCAGGTCGGTCCCTCCCCCGGCTGCGACTCGGCTCAGGACACGGTCGAGGCGGGTCGAGGCTGGCGGAAGAGGCGGCAGCGAGAGGGGAACGGCACCACACTCGCTCGTGCGAGAGATGGCAGAGGGGACGGAGAGGGCGGCAGCATGCAGAGTGGACGAGGCCCGGTGGCGGGAGCAAGCGGCGGGCGCTGTGGTGCGTGCGCGGCGGCTGGCGAGGGAGGCCGACGGTGGGTATGGGGCGGTGCCGATTCCGGTGTATCTCCCGACCCAAATTGCAATCAGCGAACTGTCCCGGTACTGTGTCCGCCCTGTCAACGCCCGCGCAGACCTCTCCCACGGCCGGCATCCCGTCCACAACTCGGCCCTCTTCTGGCGCATCTCGTCCAAGAGCAAGCTGCTCTTCGAGGGCTGGCTCGACCACAGCGACGCGCTGGTGCTGGCAGAGCTTGTCGGCCGCGGCTGGCTCGTCAAGCCCATCGTCGTCAAGAACGCGAGCCGGGAGCTACGATCGGGAGAGCAGGCAGCGGCAGAAGCGGGCGCGGGCGCAGAAGGTGATGAGGAGACGGACGAGGCGGCCGAGGCGCTGGTGGTGCAGCGGCGGGAGGCGACCAAGAACGCGTATGTGGAGATGGTGTCGGCCGAGTACGCGCCGCTGCATCCGATGCAGGTCGCCGTGATGTGCAAGGTGCCGGCCGAGGTGCGGACCGAGGTGAGCGCGGCGATCAGGGACGGGCTGAAGCACGAGGCGGATCTTGTGGAGCTGCCGGGCGAGGACGAGGCGCAGTGGCTCAACTACACACCGGCGCACACCACGGCGGCCAGCATCCGCGACCGCAACCGCGCCCTGTACATGCCCGAGTACAACTTGATGCGCGCCGGGCTGACCGCCGCCGTCGCCTCGCGGCAGAGCCACAACATCGAGCGGAACTTGCTGCGGACAAAGGCCCAGCGGGCGTACAACGCCAAGCGGCGGGCCAAGGACAAGGCTGCCGCAGGCGGCTTTGACACCGTCGCCGACAACTTTGCGCCCGGCATGAGCGCCGGTGTCCTCAACGCGCTCCTCTACTCGGACAAAGTCTCGCAGAAGCACATCGCGGTCATGATCAACTCCAACGGTCTCGTCGACGACTGGGACGCGACTGAGCGGAAGCGGAAGCGGAAGCGGAAGCGGAAGCGGAAGCGGAAGCGGCGTGGCGACGGCGACGGCGACGGCGACGGCGACGGCGACGGCGATGGCGATGGCAATGACGAGGGCGGGGCGGGCAACAAGCGGCGGAAGAGGTCGGCGTTTGAGGACGCTGTGGCGCGCGAGCGGGCGCGTGACGCCGCCATCGTCTCGTCAAGCAAGTGGCAGGCGCTGGTGGCCGAGGCGCAGCGGGAGGTGGCCGATCCGCGGGTGCTGGCACCGGCGCGCGACGCGCTCGTCGCCATGTGGGGCCGCAAGTGCCACAAGGGCGTCCGCGAGCTCGTCAAGTCGTGGGGCGGCTCGCTGGCGGTCAAGCTCGACGTGCGGTACGAGGCGACGGGCCGGGTGATGGCGCTCGGCAGCGTGCAGAACGGGCGGCATCCGGCATTTCCCGAGATGATCCGCTTCCGCATCGTCACCTCGTACACCCACAGGCTCTTCAGCCACTTTGTGGGCTGGCTCTGGCGCCACGAGGCCCGCAAGGTCGCTGGCCTCATCGCCGCCGAGGCCGGCGTCTACATTGCGCCCGAGATCCCGCGCCCGCTGAGCTCTGCCGAGTCGGCCGACCCGCGGGCCCTGCTCGACCGCATCATTGCCGAGCGGGCCATGGATCCGGCGTCGATGCCGCACCTGGCGTTCAGCCACCCGCCGCCTGCTCTGGCTGGCCGCCGGCCGCGGGCCCGCCCGGCGGCGCTCGGCCCGTGGGACGTGTGGGCCTTCCGCTTTGTCCGCACCCGCGACTGGGTCCTCCCACGAGTCGTCGATCCGCCGGCGTACCCGCGGCTGAGCCGGGCCGAGGTCCTCGCTAACCAGGTCGGCCTTGATCCGAGCCTCCGTGTCGACGGCCGCCGCCTCCACGCGCCCATCCACGTCATGCACGGGCGGCACCCGACCGATGAGCGGCTCTTCTTCTACCGCTTCACCACCACCGAGAAGACGATCAAGGGCAGCTACGGCGGGTTCTTCTACCCGGATGAGGTCCCGCTCGCCGCCATGTCGGTCATGGCCGCCTCCGATTGGCTCTCCTACGACGTCATGAACCCGGCCATGCGCGCCCTGCGCTACTCCGCCGAGGGCCCGGCCGACGTCCGTGGCGTCGTCAGTCTCTCGGATGCGTCGGCTGCCGAGGCTGCTGCCGCCGTCCGCATCCCCAACGGCGCGAGCGCCAAGCAGCCCATGGTGACGCCCGTCGTCGATCGCTTCCGTGGCCGCCACCCGGACGCCTCCATCGGCGAGCTCTTCTGGTTCATCGTCTTCCACCCGGCGGTCAAGGCGTGGATGCTCCGGCGGGCTCTCGCGCCGCACGCGGCACAGCCGGTCATCGAGGGCTGGATGACGGTTGTCGAGGCCCGCGGCGTGGCCCATCGCCTGGCTGTCATGATCGACCTCGTCGCCCAGGGCTGCGTGGTGCACAACCAGGTGTGGCGCTTCCCCGAGCCGCTCCGCTCGCAGCTCTCGGCCCGCCGCCGTGCCCAGCGCGCCGAGCGGACTGTTGCCCGCGAAGCGCTCCACGACCACCTCCGCGGCATCGAGTTTGCCAAAAAGCACCGTGCCACCGCCGCGTCGCTCGCCAACAGCCTCACCTACGATCGCTTCGGCCTCCGGGTGTACAACCACAAGCCGTCGGTCGGCGCCCCGGTGGTGCCGGTCACCGCCATGCTCCGCACCACCAACAAGAGCAATCAGGGGAAGAGGCGATGGCGGTGGAGCGGGAAGCTGGCGAGCTCGGCCACGGGCTCTGGCGGTCTGCAATGGGTCGAGCGCGATGCTGAGGATGACGAGGGCTCGGGCTCGGGCTCGGGCTCGGGCTCGGGCTCGGGCGAGGAGGAGGGTGAGTGAGCATAGCTAAATATTGTATTTGCCGAGTACTGTACCGGGACATAGTCCACCGGGCTCTGCTACACGCTCCCGACTGCGAGCACAGATTCAAGAAACACGCTACGCAGTGCGTGAGCCATGACTAGCTGCATGCAAAAGCCACCCAAGCCAGAGAGTGCGTGGGGCTTGCGTGCGATGTGGAGCTTGCGTTTGGGCGTGGGACGAGCGGGAGCGGGGAACGTGCGGAAGATGTTGTGTAAAAATTTCCGCCACGCCCGAGCATCCCGGCGTTGACCGACTGGTGGTGGAGCAGTGACTGACACCAGCCAATCATCGCTGGCCCAAACTCGTCCCAAACTCGGCGGCACGGGCACTCGACGCTCAGCGGGAGGGGGCAAGGGCAAGCACTCCGGCGGTGGTGAGGGCATACGGGCGGAGAGTACCCGGTGACGTGCAGGCCTTTGTGGAGTGTGTCCAGGAGCATGTGGTATGCACGTGGACGGCGTAATGCAAAAGTGGTCGAGCGGCTCAGGCTCGCGGTCGTGGCCGTCATGGTCGTGGTGGCGGTGGCAGGCGGACTGGGCGAGTGGCCGACGGCGGCAGGCAGTCGGACGACCATCCGGGTGTTCACCATCTTCCCGTTGGGGCAAGCCTCCGGTGTTGTAGTCGGCAAAGTCACGGCGGATTTTAACCAGGCCTCCACCACCACATTTGCAGACGCATCGTTTATGCCCTTTCCTCGGTGCAGGCAGAGTACACGCCGTGGTTGGCAGGCCGTGGAGGCCCCGATGTCATCCCCATGTACGAGGGCGGTGGAGGGCAGGAGCTCCTCACGTCGGACAACTACGTCTCGCTCGATGGGCTGTGGGAGGAGCTCGGGCTGGAGGACGACGTCCTGCCGGCAGCCAGGCGCAAGTGCAAGGGCGCCGACGGATCGTACTACGTCCTCCCGCTCTACATCGAGCCATCGCTCTGCGTCTACTCGACCGAGGTCTTTGACGACCTCGCTCTCGTCCCCCCGACCACCTACGACGAGCTGCTCCAGCTCTGCGCCGTCGTCACCGCCTCGGGCCGCGCCTGTCTGGCCGGCGACTCGGTCCGGGTTGCGGCGTCAACCTACTTTGACGAGCTCGTCATCAAGATGCACGGCAACGAGGTGTACAAGTCCTTTGTGGCCGGCGGCATCTCCTTTGTCGACGAGCGCATCGTTGCGTCGTTTCACGCGCTCCGCGAGCTGGTGGTCTCGGGCGCCAAGGCGCCCGATCCGGCCACCAACTACACCCGGCCGTACTACCCGCACCACGTAGCCTCGGGCGCTGCCGCCATCTACTGCGGCTTCTCCATGTTCGGCACCGACTTTCCGGACGCGCCGCTCGATGTCTTTGCCTTTCCGCCGTACGGCACGCGCGGCGCCGAGCCGGCCGAAGCGGGAGCGGTGGCGACGGCCGGCGACGGCGTCTCGACCAACGCGCTCATCTCTATGTTCAACACGCTGGCGGTGCCGAAGCGGGCGCTGCGTGTCCTCAACGCGCTCGAGTACGTCTCCTTTGCGCTCAACGCGTCCCATCTCGCCGCCGCCGTCCCGCTCTCGCCGTCGGGCCTCCCTGCGCGGACCTCGCTGTTCAACGTGTCAACGGCGCGGTTCCACACGCTGGCGGCGGCGGTGGTGAAGGGCGCCGACGACATTGTGCCGCGGTCGATGGCCGGCTTTGGCTCGCCGTCGCTAGTGGCGGCGTACCACGAGATGATGCTGATGCTCGACAGGGCGCGGAGCGGCGAGGCGGTCGACGAGCTGCTCGCGGCCCAGCTGCCGATGCTGGAGGCCATCCGGCAGGCCGAGGTCTACCAGCTCGTCCTCGCACCGGTGGTGGACACGCCCAGCGGGACGTACACCACGACACTGAGCGTGGGTATCACTGTCCTCACCCCGGGCGCCACCATCTACTACACCCTCGACGACTCGAGGCCGACGGCCGACTCGCCGACGTACACCTCGCCCATCCTGCTCGAGTCGTCGGGCGAGGTCCATTTGCGGGCGTACGCCGCCGCCGAGGGCCTCACAGCCTCGCCGGTCGTCCACGTTGTGTACGTCATCAATCTGGCGGTGGGCAGCGAGTCGAGCAGCGGCGGAGCCGTGAGCAGCAGCGGGTCGGCGGCGGCGCGGGCGGCATCGTCGACGGTGGCGGTGGCGGTGGTGGTGCCTGTGGCGGTGGCGGTGGCAGTGGCGGCGGTGGCGGCGGCGGTGGTCATCCATCGGCGGCGGCAGGTAGTGTACACGCTCACCTCGGACGACGACCTCATCATCACCCACAACGACCTCACGCTCGGCGAGGTGGTCGGCCACGGAGCGTACGGCCGGGTCTACGCCGGGATGTGGCGGCGGACGGCAGTGGCGGTCAAGCAGCCGCACGCTGGCGGCCTCGACTGGGACCCGGCGCGGGTGCACAAGTTCATGGACGAGGCGGCGATGCTGATGCGTCTGAGGCACCCCAACGTCATCCTCTTTATGGGCGTCACCGTCTCGCCGCCGTCCATCGTCACTGAGTTTATGGCCCGCGGCTCGCTCTACAGCATCATCCACACGCCCGACCTCGCCATCCCCACCTCGGCCGTCTTCCGCTGGGCACACTGCATGGCCCAGGGCATGCAGTACCTTGCCGCATCGGGCGTCGTCCACGGCGATCTCAAGTCGCTCAACGTCCTCTTTGACGCAAACTGGGTGCCCAAGGTCTCAGACTTTGGCCTCGCCTCGCTCAAGATGGACGCCATCCGAGACCCGCCCGTCTCCGCCGTCTCCGCCGTCTCCGCCGTCTCTCGCCCGGCGGGAGGTGCCGAGGCCGACGCCGACGCCCGGGGCAGCCCATTGAGCTCATCGCCTCCACGAGGGCGGTCGATGGCTACGGTGGCGCCGGCGTCGGCGGTGAGCCGGAGCGCGAGCGGCGTCCTCTCCAACTCGCACTCGCACTCGGCGCTGCGGTTCCCGCTGGCGATGTCGTTGCCTGCCATGGGTGGCGAGGGCGTGATGAGCGAGATGTCGATGAGCGAGGTGCCGAGCGGGAAGCCCGGGTTCGGCTCGCCAGACTCGGTGAGCATCGAGTTGGCGCCGTTGTCGGGCACGGGCGCATCGGTGACAACGCTGCGGACGATGCGCTCGCAGCCGTCACTCGACGAGCTGGAGCAGTCGACGTCGACGTCGGCGACCGGTCGCGGGCCGGGCCGGCAGCCGACGCGGGGGCGGGTACAGACAGGGACTGAGTCAAGGACCGGGACGACGACGGCGACGGTGAGCGCGCTGTCTGGCGAGCGGCGGACGGCGGTGATCGGGACGCTCCTCTGGGCAGCGCCCGAGGTCATCCTCAGCTCCGGGCAGGAGGTCTCGTTTGCGTCGGACGCGTACGCGCTCGGGGTGACCCTCTGGGAGCTGGCGACGCGGTCCGAGGTGTATCCGGGCGAGAACGCGGTGGCTGCGGCGCTGGCGGTGGTCTCTGGCCGGCGGCCGCCGGTGGACGCCATCCCGCCGCCGCTCTCGCCGCTGGCGCCCATCATCGCGGGTCTCTGGGGTCAGCAGGCCGAGGCGCGGCTGACCATGGACGCGGCGGTGCCGCTGCTGGCGCGGTTGTACACGCCGGCAGAGGTGGCGTACCCATCGACGGCGGTCGGCCCGCCCATGACCGCCCTCGTCGTCCGCGTTGCCTTGCCCGACGCCTTGCGGTGGCTCATCAGCGAGCCACACGACGCCGAGCGCAAGCTGACCCATCTGCATACCCAGGCCGCGTCGGCGGCGCAGCAGCACGGCGGGATGGTCGTCGACTGGTCGCTCGACTCGGTTGTTGTCGCCCTGGCCTCGCCAGGCGCCCTCGTCGCCTACCTCTACGCCCTCCGCGCCGTCTACGTCGTCACCGGCCCAGGCATCATGGCCGTTGCCTACGGCGCCCGCAACGACGAGCAGACGAGCCTGGCGACTACCCTCGGCGAGCTCGCGGCCGCCCAATCGCCACGGGCGGCCGACGGCAGCCGTCGCGGGTGCTCGCTTCGCGGGCCTGTTGCCGGCCAGCTTGACGAGCTCTGGCGCGCGGCGCACCGGCGAATGGCGTTCACCGCCACGCCGCAGGCGCACCCCATCTTTGTCTCGCAGGAGGCCTTTACCATCCTCGCCGCCGCCGCCGACCTTGATGTGCCGACGACCTCGACGGGCACGCCATCGTCTGCGGCTACGACGGCTCCGGCGTCGGTAGCCTCGTCGGTCGGCGAGCTCCGCGCCGGTGTGGTGAACGCGCCGGCGCCGAGCCGCGGCGGCGATGGCACGGTGCCGACGTCGGTGACGCTGGCGAGCGCAGCGGCGGCGCTTGCGGGTGACGGTGTCGAGGGGAGGAGCCGCGGAAGCGGGCCGATGGCAGCAACGACGGGGAGGCTGGCCATCCCGCTGGAGCGGAGCGTGCTGGGCAACAGCGGCGGGCTGGATGGCCACGTCTCGTGGTTCCGCTACCGCCGGCTGTTCACCCGGCCGGACCAGCCGGGCTTCTACGTCCTGCAGGCCGAGACCGGGCGCGGCCTGTTTGCAGCGCGGGGCATGAGCTCGGCCGTACTGAGCCTACCTGGGCCTGATCGCGACGACGACAGCGGGGGATCGCCGCGGTCTGCGCGGTCTGGACGATCGGTGTCGCCGAGGAGCGGCGGGAGCGGCGGGAGCGGGAGCGGCGGGCTCGTCGCCTTTCTCTCGCGGCGCGAGATGGAGGCGGTGCTCGAGGCTGGCGGGCCGATGGTGCTCGGCGGGTACACGCGGGTGGTGGAGAGCGAGTGGCGCGGGTGCGAGGTGGTGGCCAAGGTTCTGCTGGAGCTGCCGCGAACGCCACAGCAGCTGCTGCAGGTGGCGGTGTGCATGGCGTCGGCGGTGAGCGTGGGCGTCGAGTGCCTATCGATCGTCTCGCCGCTGGCGCTCTGCCTCGAGCCGCCGCATGTGGCGCTCATCTACCCGCGGATCAGCGGCGAGTCGTTGGAGGAGCTCCTCGCCGAGGCCTTTCTTGTCGGGCGGCCTCACGATCGGTCGTCGCAGCGACGGCAGAAGCGGCTGCCGCGGGGCGGCGGAGTGAGCGGCGTCGGCGGGTTGGCCGGGCTCGACGAGCTGAGCTCGGGCTCGGGCCTCGATCACGTGCGGGCGCTGAGCATCGGACTGGCGCTGGCGCGTGCGCTCGCCGAGGTCCACTCGATCACGGGCGGCGGGCACGGCTCGCTCAAGCCATCCAACGTGGTGGTGGTCCACGAGAGCGGACGGGTGGTCCTCCTCGACTATGGGCTCAACGCCATCAAGAGCAACCAGGGGACGATGACGGTGGTGCCATCGGTGGCGTACATGGCGCCGGAGCAGCTGCGCGGAGCCGACGAGGGCCCCGAGGGCGACATGTTCACCTTTGGCACGCTCCTCTACGAGATGCTCATGCGGGCACCGGCGTTTGATGGCAGCAACGCCATGGAGGTTGGCCGCCACATCCTCGCCGGCAACGTCCCGGACGCGATGGTGGCCAACTCGGACGGCGCTGTCTGTGGGCTCATCCAGCGGTGTTGGTCGGTCGATCCACTGGTGAGGCCCATGGCACAGGAGGCTGCGGATGTGCTGGCGGCGGCGAGGATCCGGGCGCGGTGCTCAGAGGAGTAAAGGCGGTGGGTGTTATGGGTGGCGGCGGAGGATGATGGGGGGCAGTTGGAGAATACGGTGAGGAGGCGGTTGGGGTCGGAGGGGTGGGGGATGGAGAGGCCGGTGTGGTTGGCGATCGTGATGCGGGTGGAGGTGGAGTGGGGGCGAGGAACCAGTAGGAGGGAGGGGATGAGACGGTGGGGGCGTGGTGGCGTGGAGGATGTAGCCGGTTGGGGTAGGGTGCCACTGGACCGTGTCGTATGAGAATGCGCGAGAGATCAGGACAGACAGCTGGCCATCCGCACTCGGCAGCGCAATCAAGCCGCCCACGTAGTCGGTATGGCCCTCCAGCACCTCACAGGAGGCAATGCCCGCAGTGTACCGCATCGCGCCCATCCCGTTGTCTGCACTGTGAACAGTGCCAGTCTCGATTCCTTCAGGAGGGATGCAGAACGAGACAAGTGGGTGCTAATCAAAGGATGGGCTCGAGACGTCGTAGCGGACACAGCGAGCATGGGCTCGACCTTCGGTCGGCCAGCCCTCGTAGGCTTAAGTGGATGGTCTGTGTACTCAGCTACGGACGCTGTTGCGTATTGATTCAACGGGACTGGTTGGGACGAGGCGGTTGGCCGGACAAGCGGTCACGGCAGAACGACATCAATGAATGGTGTGCGAGGCAAGGTGGATGGGGTGGTCACGTTGTGGGAGCGCAATGCCGCGAGAACAACAGCCTCAACCGTCGAGTTGGACGCCATCGTTGTCCAGAACTCTGCCGCGGCCTTGGAATCACAGGTTGCGTTGATTGGATGAAGGAAGAGTCCACTGCGCTCGGTAACCTGCCAGGCATCGGTGGGGAGGAGCGGCAGCATGGGTCCTGCAAGGACAATGGCAAGCTCCTCGAGCAGGAACTTCTTCTGGGCGAGCCGAAGCGCAGTGTGATCACGAACCTTGGTCTGATGCTGGATCGCCCCCTCGGCGAACTGATCGACTATCGCAGCAAGCTCGTCGTCGTGTTTGCACACTTCAACCAGTCGCTGACTTGCCTCGTCCACCCACGACCCGCGGGCGTCCTGTCGGACGTGAGACCAAGACACTAGCTCGACACCCCCTTCTCTGCTACGACACTTGCCCAGGCTTCCTCTGCGTGACGTTGCTCTTTGATGCGCCTATTTCGCGCACTGCTCTTGAGCGCTGCATTGACGTTACGGTGGAGATCAGCCGTTGTGAGCACAACAATCTCAGCTTCAGCGTATGCTGCCTTGACGTGACCGAGCAAGTCAGAGGCGCGCTCGAGAGCATTGGTGCCAATGGAGAAGGGTGGTGTCGAGACTCCCACGAGCACACGCTCAAACGTACTCCCACAAGAGGCAATGTGTTTGAGAGCTACTCTACGAGCCATGTTGGCCATGGCGCGTTGAGTGAGGGTGATTCTGCGAGTGTGGCGGCGCTCCGCCCATTGGCGAATATAATATTACCCGAATCATTTAGAGTCGCTTGCGCCACCAGACACACATAGCTCTCTCCGCCGCTTCCCCCAAGATCCGCACCATTGCAGCCACCCCCGCGTACGGCATTGTAGCTGCGTCGACGTCATGCCTCCTAGCCGGAACCTTCTATAGTTTCCCGCTCCTGTTCGAGGAGCTCAAGGGTCCGCTGCGGCTGTCCCAGCTCGACGTGGCTGTTGCCGGCGCCTGCGCATACTCAAGTGTGCTCATGTGCCTCTCCCTCGGCCCCTTCGTCTACCCCGCCTTCCCCAGCCCCCACCACCGCCATGTGTATTTCAGGTCATCGCTGCTGGCGATCACCGCTGCTTGGGCCATCCTCGGAAGCGCCACTGCCGTGAGCGGCACCTTCGCTGCCGTGCTGATGGCGGCTGGCGCAACGGCGCTTGGCGTGTCATGCGGGATGTCGTACCCGTACGAGATGGTGACGCTCATCATGGACGGCCGTGTTGCAGATGTTGTTGCGGGTGGCTATGCGAGTGCCGTGTTTGCCTCGGCCGGCCTTGTTGCCACCGTGTATCTCGTCGTGCTGCAGCACGCCGCCGCACCTGGGCTCCCTCGCTGCCATGCCGCATCTTCGTGGCAACGTTTGGGT